AACAAAAAACGAACGATAAATATAAATAATATAATATTAACCCTTTGAACAGATGCCGCCATGCGATCTCAGCCTAGGGGAGGCAATATAAGCAAGGCCCAAAACTACAGAATCTCTAGCATTAAATGTTTGGTGGGTGAACAGGTGCGACAGGCAAAAGTCCTTGCTCGTATTTTCTCGTGCAAATACCTTCGAATTAAATAATAACAAACTTAATAAAAAAAAAAAATGAAAATTCCAATTTTAATTTTTAAAACAAATTAAGAAAAGTACTTTGAAATAATCATACCTCTAGCAAATTGCGAACATCCCACTTGTCTCTGTTCATATTGTAATGAGCTTCACCACCCCTTACTCTTGTAGGATCATTATGAACAAGGATTTTCTTAATCACAAAACCCATTCCTTTAAATCCATCCAGGTCTTGTCTATCTTGCCAGGTGGTATCATTGTATATTTTGTGAACCCTGTCTATTAAATTGATCTACAAAAACTTTCTAATAAAAGTAAATTAATGATTTTAATTAACACTTGCCAGGTAATTAATGGTCGTTTTTATATTACTTGCTCCCATTTCTTGGTAGAATCTGTAATCTGCAACAAGGAGAAGTGGACATCTAGTCTTGGTAATTGAATATTCATATTGTTCTGCCTGTCTTTTCTCTCTATTTACAGTATCAGTCCGATGACTTTCATAATCATCTTTATCTTCTAACTCTGACCCTTCCTTAACATATCCACATATTTTGGGGCCGACTTGGTCAGGGCCAAGAGTACTGTGGTCCCAGCTAAACTTTACATCAGATGCTTTGTACGTTATCATTGTTCTATTGTCCAACTTTGGTAAATGACGCCAAGAAGGCTGTAAAAGATTAATAAGTAGGTCTGTATCACATTTATTTCAAAAAATATACCTCGATATGATAAGTTTCATCTTTTACTTTCACCATACCAGTCATAACTCCATCATCTTCAATATGAATGCTTGCATATGAGTTTATTTCATCAAAAACACGACCAGCGTAAAAATTGTCACGAGCTGAAGATGGAACACCTTATAAATTAATGTTTTAACTTAATTCTCGTCGACTTACCTATATGAACGCTTGTTTCTTTTCCATCAGCATCAACAGCGTAAGCTTTGAACTTAGAATGCAACATGTCCTTTTTTGGTGATAGGATTAGCCGAAAATCCCTCCCAAGTGTTTTAAATCTAACCTCCTTTATTTTGTTTAGTGGATGAACGCTTTCTTGAGCTCCCCTTTTAACAATGTGGTGGTGAAGTTCGTCTGCGTGCATTATTTCAAAGTATTTCAAATTTTCATAAATAGACGCTGAAAAATTATTCACTTAAATAGGGAAAATAAAAATTGTTAACAAAATTTACCATTTGTTGCAGCTAAAATGCACAAAAAATGGAAAAACTTCTCGTAATACATCGTTGTTGACATTTTTCAGAACATTTTAAGAATGTTCAGGTTATGTTATATCTGTTTACGTTTTATCTATGGTACATCTAAACTGTGTTCCTAATCTTTAGATCACCCACAATACATCTGTGTGTTCGCGTTAGACGATTGCTTACTTCAGTTTTTGCTCTTCTTAACCTAAAAAATGAATTATTTATGTCTAGTAATTGCAAGTAATAATTAGGTGTTTAAGATGCAATATGTGGTTTTTTACAATATTATCATACGTAGCAATATTAATACAAATATGTTTCGTAACTATCGCCATAGGTAATCATTACTGACAGAGCCTTTTAAAAAAATATTAACAAGAATTGTCTTTCAGCTGCAGGTCTTTATTATCTAGCAGAGCTTGTAGAAGAATATACAGTGGTTAGTAAGAAAATTATAACTTCCATGAACACAGTAAGCAGTTTTTTTCACCTTGTTTATGATTCAAAGTAAAAGTGAGTATTTTGCAGGCTACATTGATATTATATCTGTGCTTATGGGTCTTTGAGGATCTTCCTAAAAGTATGGTATTGTGTGGGATATTAGCTCAATTATCACATTTTGTGATACTAAAAGACTTTCCCTATGTATCCTTTTTAGCGCCAGGGTTTTTAAGTAGCATATTGTTTTTAATAGTTAATCATTATATGGCATTTTCATATTTTGCTGAAGTAAATCATCCAATTTCTGAGGTAAACATAAAAAACTACTTAATTTTCAGTCACACAATTTTTTGTGTTTTAGGTATTAGCATACTTCACAATTTGTCTATGGTTAGTCCCATTTGCTCTATTCATATCTCTTTCGGCAAATGATTACGTTTTGCCAACTATGGCTGACCACCAAGGTATAAAATTGAGTAATTATTACTATTTAATAATAATAATTATGTATATTTCTAGAACAAGACGTCATTACAAACTACTTTAGCAAAAAGAACAAAAAATATGGACTTTTGACTTTATTCAATTATACAAAAGACACCATTTTTACCCAAAAAAGCAAAAAAGGGTTTTAAAATTGGTATCAGAACAGCTATAAGTATTTACTATAATTTAATTTATAACTTTCCAAGGAAGTACAATAACGAAACTTTTGGTTGATTAAAAAAATTAACTGTAATAAATAATGGTCTGATAAAAGAAGACATCAATTTGTAAACATTTATTGTACTAAAAATCTTTTTTAAATCATCAAAATACGAATCAAATGTAATTTATAATTAGCTCATAATAAAACCAAAAAATTCTTTTAAGTTACTATTTTCTAAGTTTTCAATAACAGCCTGACATTTATTTAAAAAATTGTTGTTATTTTCACCCAGAATGCGTGTAAATGTTTTCGAAACATAATAAGAATGATTTTTAATTTCTCTGGATATAATCGCATCATCAAATGCAACAGATAGTTTTGATATAACATTTAATAGCTCCCCGGAATTTTTTATAGCTTGTTCTTTGCATAAGAGAAGTTTTTTTAACATATTTCGAGCCTGATAAGAAGTTAATAATATTTCGGAATGTATATTACTCAAACCCTTATCAAAAACCTATTAAAAAAACAGAAGTTAAATAAAAAAAACTCTTAAAACTTTTTCATTACTCACATCAGACGTTTCGCAGTCTTCAGTCACATCAGATTCCGAATTTCTGAATATTAAAGTCAAAAGATACGACAGGAGAGGCAAGTCGGGGAGAATTAAGAAAGCATGATCTAATATCTTCTCCTTTGCAGATTGTATGGTTTCCAAATTATATTTGGGCCTAAGGAAACACACAAAAATTTAACGAATATTTTATAATCCAATTAGTTACTTACAAAATGATAGGAATAGATTCACATGAAAAAGGAACAGCTGCAAGATGTGATATTCTATTTCGCACCATACTGTCGTCGTCTTCTGTTAATGTAGTGACCATGTACCAGCATTTTATTAAATCGGAACCTTAATAAGCAAATTCCGAGCTGCTCTTAATATTTACTACTACTGTAACAATATTTAATATTTACCTGATAGAAGAGGATCCTTTTGGTAAAATAAACATTTATTATCAAGAAAGAAGTCGCATACAGACAACTTAAGAACAGTTGAGGCATCAGGGGAAGCACAGCATTCTAAAAAATTCAGTAACTTTGTAATGTTCAGTTTACTTTTTTGTTCTAAGCTTCCAAGATACTCCACAATAACTGCTAAAAGACTGCTAATTACTAAATCATCTTTGCATTCTTTACAAAGTTTTAAAAGATGTTCCATAACGTCATTTGGAGAGTTAAAAACTTCATTTAACAAAAAAACGTGCCTTCGAAGGGCTGTAAAGTAGGAAACTAAAAAATCAGCGTCTTCCATCTCGTTTAAATACCGGAAAGCATAGAGCAGATAAATTTTTAATGTACGTTTTATTAAATCGTTCATCTCGTCTATTAATTCAATTGGTAACAGTTTCACACATTGTTTAGCAAGATCTTTTTCTGTCCTGCACAAATTACTCCCATTTGACTCGCTGATAAAATTTATAATTTTTAACGAAAACGTTTTTAAATCCTGGTCGTCGCCAATTAAATAGGAGAACAACTGCCTAATTAATAATTTTGGGTCTGCGGCAACGTATGAGCTGTATAGTAAGCTTAAAGCCCCATTATATATTTTGTATTTAAGGGAAGATGTTGATAATACACGTGCTCCTTTTCTGTGTACTTTGCTCCATAAAAAGGAACTGAAAACGTTTTTCAGGTAACTGTTATCGTAGCTCTCACTATCACTAATTTTTTTTAATATTTCAAAAAGTATTTCTAGATACAGAGCCTTTGATAGATCACTGCCATTTTCTTCTAAATATTGGAATAAAAAAACGAAACAATCAAGGTCGCTTTTTTGAATAACATTTACATTTTCTAAGAAATATCGAAGCTGAAATTTTAAATAAAACGTTTAAAAAAGAGCTTACGTTTATAATCTTAATGAATATATTCACCTGGAGAAGAAGTCCATGTCTGTTATTTTCTGTTTTTATTCTTGGTAATTTCTTTAAAATATTCCAAACGTAGCCGTCTCTATCTTGAGTAGAAATTATAGCGACAGAAGCGGCAGCAGCCAAGTCTCTCGTTTGATAAACACTATTAGACAAGCACGCCTCGACATAAGGCAAAAATACACTTAACTACAATATAACAATGTTACATTTTCTAAAATAATATTTGATATTCTGTTTACTTTGTACTCAGAGTCGTTGTTACGATTTCCAGGGTACAGGTGCCCAAAAATGAGCAGGATCCCATACAAGCTGGGACAGTTCTCGTCTTTTGATCTATTTTTCAATTGTTTCAGCAAAAAATCGTAAAGAAGAGGGTACCGCATGAAAAATACATGACCTGTTAATTTATTTTTAGAACTAATAGACTTTTTATTCCTCGAAACACCGAACATTCTCGTCATCAGGGAAGAAAAGAGTAATGTAGCAGAATTTCGAATCTACAAATCAGACGATATCAGTCTAACAAAGGTAAGCATAAACTTGGAGGACTTACACTCCAGCTTGAATTTGAGAGTCCACGAATGGCAATCATTACTCCCTGGGCTACGTACGGGGTAACTGCTTCCCCCAATTGGTTGTGCTTATAAAGGGCTTTTAATATATTTAAAGAATGAACTTTTTGTTCAACATTATCGTCTCCTTCATTCTTCGCCAAGCTTAGTAAGGTCTTCATGGTTTGATTAAACAATCTGCCTTCTAATTTGGGTTCTGTCGTTAACACCGCCTGAACCATGAAAGGAAGTCCTGCGCTTCTTCTAGTCGCGCATGCATTTATGTGCTCAAATTTGCCTTGTAAACTGCTCATTATTTTCGTGAGATACATTTCCGGAAGTCTCCTAAGTTTATAATTACGCAATCTGTAAACATTACATTTTAACATTAGGTTTATAAATGATTAATGGAATAATATTAATCACCTCCAAAGTCTCTTACAGTAATTAGTGAAGCCAATATAGCCCTGTTCAAAGGCTCCACGATGTTTGACTGTCATCAAAAAATCCACGAAGAAGTCACCAATTCTTTGCATTAAATCCACACTTATCACACCATCATTCGGAGATTCGTCAGAGTCACAAATTGGTAAATTTAAAGCAATTTCGCCCAAAAATAGTGAAGTTTCTTTAGCAGCGCGCCACGTGTAGACTAGAAGCATTTGAGCTGTACATGTTTCGTCTTCTTTACTAAAGCTGTCCTCGGGAATGTAGCCTTCAGGGGAAGAATTACAAACGACTTGGAAAATGATTGGAAGAACCATAAAACACGCCTTTACACATTTGTCTAATATGTCTCTGTATATGGGTTCTGCCAAATCTCTAAAGAAAATAAACAATTATATACCATTTACAAAGTTTTAGATTAATTAATATTATTACCTAGTAACCNTTATTGTTTATCACTTTTAGAACTTGCAAACATTGAATAAAAAAATAACTGACTAAATATTTGAATAAGAAAAGTAAAAAAAAAGAAAATAATGTAATTGGATCAGTACTTTCTCCTCTTAAGAATGTCTGGCTTCCAGTTGATTGGATGGGTTTCCTCTGTAGCTGTTTCATCTTCTTTGTAAATTTTAATTGTTTTATCGGCCTCTGTGGTGATAAGTCGTGATCCTGACTGGTCAAAAATCATTGAAAATATTCCCGCTTCGCTATCCATTGAGCCTGGTTGCACTGGGGCCTAAATTGATATTCTACTTATAAAAAAATATCTGTTAAAAGATATGATAAACAGAAGGGGCACCTGTAATCTTTGGAAATTGTATCCTGTTCTCCAATCCCAGAAAAAGAGGGTTCCATTATCCCCTCCGGATACGAGAACTCCCTCGGGATTGACAGCCAAACAATTTACTATAGCGTTATGCCCCGACAAATTTTGGATAAATTTTCCATTAGGACATTTCCATTGCTTTATGTTGTCTGGAGATCCCGATGCAAACATATTTCTAAAAAAACATTACCTGAATGCATCATAAACAGCTTAATTATATAACTTTTTTAGCACTTACAGTGTAGGATGAAAGACCAAATCTCTCACGCTCTTCTTGTGGTTAGTTAGAGTACAAATGGATTTACCGGCAGCCAAGTCCCACAGGCGTATGGTAGTATCATGAGAACCTGTAATTACCTGGGGCTCTCCTGCTTGGCAAATAACACTAGCAACAGTATGTGTGTGTCCCTGAAGAGTATGTACATTGGCCTTTGTTCGCATGTCCCACACTCTCGCTGTAGAATCTCTGCCAGCTGTTATCAATACATCTATAGTTGGATGAAGGGCCAACGAATACACTGCCGATAAATGACCGTGATAATGACGAATTACCTATATGAAAGTATGCACACATGAATTTCTTAAGTGCAAGTAAGGCAGGATGTTGCAGTCATTTACCTTGTTATATTCCAAGTCCCAACATTTGACCTGTCTGTCCTCCCCACAGCTAAAGAGATAAGGATGCCTGGCACTAACAGCCAATCCCCTGACAGTACTAACGTGCCCCGTTAAGGAAACTTTGAGCTGCCCACTAGCTAGATCCCAAATTTTAATAATTCTGTCTGCAGCTCCTGTAGCAAACCACTAGAAAAAGAAAGCACACATAAAGTTTCTTTGCTTTATTTGAAAGGAAAACAATTTACCACTCACATCATTTCCTGGTTCAACAGCTACACATCTGACCCATCCTAAATGACCTGAAATAACCCGTGTAAGTTTCCAAGGAGGATGCCATTTAGGTTTGGGCATTGCAGGAGCTTTTCTCATCATATTGGTGATTTGATTTTGTGAGTTGTTTTGATTAGTTAGGCTTTTTTGAGTAAGACTTGTATCAGTGTATGGCACAATTGTATTTTCATTTGCATTTGGAGCATCTCCATCAACTGTGCCAGGAGGAGGAGGATTTGGACCGGCCTCTACTGCTTGCAGTTGCTTCATAGCTTCCATTTTCTTTAAATCGTCAAAAACCAAGCCATAACTATCTCTAGCCTTTATAAGCCTTCGTATCATTTCTCTAGGGAAATATAACAAACGAATGAAACTGAATTGAAATTAATTAATGAAAATGAAAGAAGTGTGGTTTTTATGGCAAAAAAATTAACACGACCAAAATTTACAATTACTTACGCCTTTTCATCAACAGCGGGTAACAATCCTTGGTTTGAGAGGAACATATCGTGGGATCTTTTTAAAGATCTGAAAACTAATGTGTGCACTGAGTGTCTTTGGACTTCTTCGTTCATTTTTGTCGATTTTACTTATATTTTTAATTAATTACATAAAATAAATGTTATTTTTTTAAATATATAACCTAAAACTTCGACGTTTACATTAATGAAAATCATAAATAAGAGACATAGACAATAGATACACAAGGAGCATTATATGGCCCATAGATAATATGTCATCTATGATGAAAATGATAGGTAGACAGCGACCTCTAACAGTCGGTAGTAGGAATTTAGAATTGACAGTTGCGTGGTTGGTATGTTAGTACATGATTGAATGATTGGTTTCTAGAAGAATGATTTTTTTACATGTACTAATTTATTATTTTAGAAAAATTTAAGTAGTAATTTAATTTAAATGCATAATTTAACGTTTGTTAGAAAACTAGAAATTGAATTTATTTCAGAAACATTAATGCTACATCAAAAATACGAAGGGGACGTAGGATGTGTGGTATGGGATGCAGCAATTGTTTTAGCTAAATATCTTGAAGAAACATTTAAACAACGGAGATTTTGTTTTAAAGATAAGAATGTAGTCGAGCTAGGAGCAGGCGTGGGATGTGCAGGACTTACAGCTGCTTGTTTTGGGTGAAATAACTACCAGCTAAAGAGACAACTTATTAAGAGTACTAAAAGTAGCTCGCACATTTTAGGGCTAATGTTTTATTAACTGACTTAGCCGAGGTAATTCCTCTACTTCAATTGAATATAAAAGAAAATGAAAAAGTTATAGCACACCACGGGGGTTCAGTTAAAGCATCTATACTAAGATGGGGTAATAAAGACCCCAGTATTAATTTTATACCTGATGTGGTTTTGTTAGCAGACTGTATCTATTATAAGCAGGTAAGGATTTTAGGATAAAATTGTAAATATTTTGCCATTTATCTGTAAATTTACAGTCAATTGACAAGTTACTGGAAACATTGGACAACATTACGGAAAATGACACTAGAATATTGATGTCTCAAGAAATGAGGGAGTCAGATGTGCAGAAGAATTGTTGGGAATATTTTGTTAAAAGAGCAAGTGAAAAATTCTCTTTCAATTATGTGCCTCTTTCTGTCCAAAATCCAGAATATAGATGTCCTGATATTAAATTAATAGAACTTATAAAAAAAGAAAAAACATGTTATTAATTAATTACTATTATTTAAGAACTAATGGTATATTTTATAAAGTATGTTTTTTAAAAACACAATCACATTTTTATCTATACACACACATTAAACAATTTTTAAAATATCTAATGTTTTCCTTTGAAATGTAAGTATAATCAGTCAAACATTTATTATTAAAAAAATACTTTTTTGGAAACTTAAGTAATGTTGGACTAGAAACAAATACACACTAAGTTAAGTGTTGTTGAGATAAAGTTATATACTGAAATGTTTATAACACAAGTCTAACTTTCAAACTGTAAATAAAGTAGTAATAAATTTTACTACCAAAATAATTTAAATATAATTTAAGTTAAATGAAATTCAGTTTTTTACCTTGACTTTTATTTCATATTATGAGATGTTGAGGGTTGGTCTAGGTCTGGGAACACGTATGTGTATTATTCTCCTGGGTTCGGAGGGATGTATGAGATCAGTCCTGTTCTTCCATTCCCAACGTTTCTCTTCTTCGCGACGTCGTTTCCTGTCGAAATAACCAATCACACAGCTGGCAGGGACCCATAGCAAGGCAGTTACGAGAACAATCGTTCCCACGATATTGTCCCGGAGGAATAACAGGACCTTGTTAATGTTTATGTCTTCTATAATGTCCCAAAAACGTTCCACGACGTCCTGAATCGTCTTCTCGCAATTTCCCTGCAAATTGCATTGAACATATGAATAAGAAGTCGTTAAAAAGCACGTAAGCCGTCTGTACCTTATTACAAAAACCTTGTATACAAGGTGTACCGTCAGGTAAGACATCCGCAGGCTCTACAGGGAAACATGTTTCGTTTATACTAGTCCTGCAACATCTTCTGCAAGCATGCTCGACTAGAATCAAAGTAGAGGCAGTTATTAATCAGAAATCTTAAGTTATAATTAATAGTATGTAGGTCACTTACTTATGTCACACATGCAACTCTGAAGTCCCTGTGTTTCACAGAATGGTGTGCACTTGCCGTTTCGACATTTTCCCCTTTCTTGACAATCAGTATCGTCTGGCATCGGAGGGCTTCTGGGGCAATCGGCCTGGAATCCAGTGCACCTTGATTCTTGCTCACATGTTGCGTACTGAGCCTCTCTGCATTTTACTCCCTTCTGCATATACTGACAGTTCTGGCAACAGGGGGAATTTTTGTCACTGAAACATTTGATTTTTATCTTTTCAATATTTTCGCGATTTTAAACGCATCTAATTTAATTTACCTGCACATGGCTCCTTGCAGTCTACGCAATTTGCAGTCCTTATCGCAACATGCGTCGTTATCTTCGGTTCCTAAGAGACCCGCGTCGCATTCCTCATCCCCTTCGACCCTTAGGTTGCCGCAGAAACTTTCCTCGGGTTCCGAGAAGCATTTTCCTGATTTGGCCAGGAGAACTTTGCGTATAGATCGTAAGCTGCACGGGGAAAAACGCTACAAAAGGAATTTAAAAGTTTTTGGCACTTTCTAAAAGAAAATATCATTGAAATTACCTTGTTATTCACGTCGTATCCGCTGACACTATAAGTGTACATTAAGTAGGAGCCCCCTTGGCTGGCACTGGGAGAACATTCGGGTATGTCTGGATCGTGTTCGGAGCCCCAATTGTGCCCAAATTCGTGCGCAGTGACGAGATCTGCCTCTCTGGTTATCACCCTCTGTCCATAATGATTTCTGCTTGAACTCAATCCCGAATTTAAATAAAGAGTGTAACCGTTTTTAAAGTATTCTAGAAGAAATGTTAGAAAAAAACGTTGACCAAGTTATTCACAACCCTTCAAAAGAACATCACACAAAAACGAAACATTTGGTAAGTGAAAAAGTTTAATACCTGGGGTACAAATGCCCCCGACAGAATTACGACGGGGTGAACCGACGTAAGCAAGCCCCAAGATGCCCCCCTCGAATTTAAGATCAGTGAAAAGATGCGCCAGGCAGAAGTCCTTGTGACTGTACTCTCTACTGAACACCTGCGCCACCAAAACCCAATAAAAATATTAGTTTTAAACTTTAAGCATCCAAGGCTAAGCAAACAAATAAGAAGCAAAAAAAGGAAATAGTGCCCCCTTCAAGCGGCAAAATTAAATAAACTTACACAAATGTTTCAACGATAATTAAGAAATGAGATTCTTTAACAAAAAACGAACGATAAATATAAATAATATAATATTAACCCTTACTTACGCCTTTTCA